AGTAGTAGTAGTAGTAGTAGTAGTAGTAGTCGTAGTCGTAGTAGTAGTAGTAGTAGTAGTAGTAGTAGTAGTAGTAGTAGTAGTAGTAGTAGCAGGCGTAGTAGTATAGTAGTAGTGGTAGTAGTAGTAGTAGTAATACTAGTAATTGTAGTCGCAGTGGTGGTGGTTTTTGAAGACGTGGGAGGAGGAGGAGGAGGAAAAGAAGCAGGAGTAGGAGAGGAGGGGGATGAGGAGGACTGGAAGGATTAGGATAAGGAATGGGAGGACAAGTGGGGGGACCAAGAGGAGGAGTTGGAAGTGGAGGAGCATCAGGAGGGTCGAGGGATGATGGAAGATGATGATGAGGAGGAGGAGGAGGAGGAGGAGGAGGAGGAGGAGGAGGAGGAGGAGTTGGAGTTGGAAGAGGAGGCGGATGAGGAGGCGGATGAGGAGTAGCAGGAGGCAGAGGAGCAGCAGGAATGAGGAATGCTAGAGAAGGGAGGAGAAAGAAAGGAGCGGGGTCGGGACCACGGAGGAGAAGCAGGAGGGATGCGGATGAGGTTGGAGGAGTTGGGAGGGGGAGGAAGAGGAGCGGGAGAGCGAGATAGAGATAGAGAGAGCGAGAGAGGGAGAGAGAGAGAAGGACGAGGGAACCACGAGAGAGAAAGAGAGAGAAGGCCAGACCCAGATGCTAGTCAGGGAATCTCTCGTTCCAGGGCCTTCTCAGAGCGGCCCAGAGTGCCCTGGAACGGCCGCGGCGCTACATCCTCTGGAGTCACCGGTTCCCAGAGACCCCCGAGATGTTTGTGCCAAGCTGGTTTGTATCTCATTTACCCTCGTCCCCTGCATGCGCGAACGCGGCCGCCGTCGTCGCTGCCGAAGTCGTCGTTTGCCGACGGTTCCGAAGGGTCGCCGCCGTCCGCCCTTCCGTGAAGCCATGCGCGCCATGGCCCTCGGCGATCGCGTCGGGGGCCGGCGGTCGCGACGCCCTGGAACCCACTGGAGTACGTGGACATCTTGTGGGCCACCGAGGCCCAGGACGGCAGGGGCCCCGGTTAGAACTGGCGTGAGCAGGCTGGGGTGTTCCACACACGCGCACAGGGTTCCACGCACACCAGGTTCCACGCGCACGAGGTCCACACGTCAAGGCTTCCGCACACAAACACACACACACACACACGGGCTTCCACGCACACATGGGCTTGCCCACGCAGACAAGCACAACAGTAACAACAAACACAACAACACAAACACAAAGACAAACATAAACGCAAACACAACACAACAGTTACCTTGGCGAAGGACCCAACCATACGCAGTTGTGAGTAACGCGTTGTGGATGCCGCTTCCAGTGGGCCACGCAACGCGTGATGGAGCGTGCCGTAATGGGTGTGGGGACGCACGCGGGCGGTCCCATTGGGGCCTTCGGTGGGGTACGTGGCGTTACAGGCGTTTCGTGGAATTGCGTGTTTAGAACATAGTTTGAGAAACTCCTCTTCAGTCCATTCATCAGGCGGAATTGGAGCTTCTCAAAATTCCGCTTGTCGCCGCGGCAGAATTTTGAGAAATTCCTCCTCGGGCTTATAATCAAGCGGAATTGGAGTTGCTCAAAATAGGTTTCAACCAAGCAATTTTGAGAAACTCAGCGGTTTCCAATGAGAGGGGACGAGGGGGCGGCATTTCGAGAAACGCCTGCATGGTCAATTTCCAGGCCGCGCAGGAGTTCCTCGAAATTGCGCCCCCCCAATCACGCACGCACCACACACCACCGCGCACACACGCAAACACACACACACGCACACACACACACACACACGCACACACACACACACACACACACGCACGCACGCACGCACGCACGCACGCACGCACGCACGCACGCACGCACGCACGCACGCACGCACGCACGCACGCAAGAACGCACGCACGCACGCACGCACGCACACACGCACACACACAAACACAAAAACACACACGAACACACACACACACACACAAACACACACACACATACACACACGGCTCCCCCCGCGGGAATTCCGAGAGAAACTCCTGCGTCGTCAGTTTCCAGGCCGTGCAGGAGTTTCTCGAAATTGCCCCCCCCCTTTTAACACGCACCACACGCCACAGCGTACACACGCACACACACACCCACACACACACAGACACACACACACACACACACACACGCTGCCCCCCCCGCTGCAATTCGGAGAAACTCTCGCGTCGTCAGTTTCCAGGTCGCGCAGGAGTTTCTCGAAATTGCGCCCCCCAAAACACGCACGACACACCACCGCGCACACACGCACACACACTCACACACACACACACCGCCACCCCCCCCGCGGGAATTCGGAGAAACTCTCGCGTCTTCAGCTTCCAGGCCGCGCAGGAGTTTCTCGAAATTGCGCCCCCCCCCCCCAAACACGCACCACACCACCGCGCACACACGCACACACGCACAGCCGCCCCCGCAGGAATTCCGAGAAACTCCCGCGTCGTCAGTTTCCACGCTTTGCAGGAGGTTCTCGAAATTGCGCTTCCCTCCGCCCCACATCAACACGCACCGCACACCTCCGCACACGCACACACACACAGACACACACACACACACACACACACGCACGCACACACACACCGCCCCTGACGCGGGAACTAAGAGAATTTTTTCCGCGTCGTCAGTTCCCGTGGCCGCGCAGGAGTTTCTCGAAAGTGCGCCCCTCTACAACACGCACCACGCACTACCGCACACACACACACACACACTCACACACACACACCCACACGCACACGCACACGCACACGCACACGCACACGCACACGCACACGCACACGCACACGCACACGCACACGCACACGCACACGTACACGCACACGCACACGCACACGCACCCGCACCCGCACCCGCACCCGCACCCGCACCCGCACCCACACCCGCACCCGCACCGGCACGCGCACGCGCACGCGCACGCACACGTACACGCGCACGCACACGCGCACGCGCACGCGCCCGCACACGCACACGCACACGCACACGCACACGCACACGCACAGGCGCACGCGCACGCGCACGCGCATACGCACACGCACACGCGCACGCGCACGCGCATACGCACACGCACACGCACACGCACACGCACACGCGCACGCGCACACACAACACACACAACACACACCACACACACCACACACAACACACACACAACACACAACACACAACACACAACACACACAACATACAACACACACAACACACAACACACACACAACACAACACACACACAAAACACACACAACACACACACACAACACACACATAACCACTCACACACAGCCACACACACATAGCCACACACACACACACACACCGCACGCCACCTCCCAGCGCGGGGGAGAGGAGAATCCGAGAAACTCCTGCGCCGTTGGTTTTCCCAATTGCGCAGGAGTTTTTCGAAATCCAGTCCCCACGAACCACGCCAACACACACGCACACACACACACACACACACGCACACGCACACGCACACGCACACACACCCACACACACACAGCGCGGGTGGGGTGTCGCTGCACGCGTTTCTTCATAATGCCTTCTATGGTGCATTCGGTATGTCGAGAGGCCCCACGCTTTCGCAGAGGGGGGGGCAGGGGGGCTTCGCCCTCCTGCTCCCCCCCTTTCCGACAGGGTGGGGTTTCTCCAAATACTTAGTGCACCAGAAGGGGGCAGTATTAGGAAACGCCTGCAGCGCCACCTCCCTTCGATGGAGCTCCCTGTGGGACCACGGCGCTCTGTAGTGGGTTGTGGAGACGCATGCGGGCGGTGCCACTGGGGCCTTCGGTGGAGCCACCATATGGGGCCACGCAGCGCTGTACTGGGAAGTGGGGGGGGGGGCGCATGCGGGCGGTCCCACTGGAACCTTCGCTGGAATTCCTTATGTGGCCACGAAGCGCTGTATTGGGTAGGGGGGGGGCGCAGCGGTGTCCCTGGTGCCTTCGGTGGAGCTCCTTATGGGGCCACGAAGCGCTGTACTTGGTGGGTGGGGGACGCATGCGTGCGGTCCCACTGGTCCCACTGGGGCCTTCGCGGGAGCTCCTTCTGGAGCCACGCAGCGTTGTACTAGGTGTGGCGGACGCATGCGGGCGGTCCACCTGAGGCCTTCGGTGGAGCCCCCCATGAGGCCACGAAGCGCTCTACTGGGCGTGGCGGGCGCATGCGGGCACCCCCACTGGGGCCTTCGGTGGAGCTCCCTATGGTGCCACGAATGTTTGAACTGGGTGGGGGGGGGGGGGGGGGGCGCCAGCGGGCGCCCCAACTGGGGCCTTCGGTGGAGCCCCCTATGAGGCCACGAACGTTTGCACTGGGTGGGGGACGCATGGGGGCACCCCCGCTGGGGCCTTCGGTGGAGCTCCCCTATGGGGCCACGGTGCGCTGCACTGGGTGGGGGGGACCGCATGCGGGCACCCCCACTAGGGCCTTCGGATGAGATCCTTATGAGGCCACGGAATGTGTGAGGGGGGTGCCAAAGTGAGAGGGGTGACGGGAGGAGGGAAGAGGGGGAGGAGAATGAGGAGGAGGAGGAGGAGGAGGAGGAGGAGGAGGAGGAGGAGGAGGAGGAGGTGGAGAGGAGAGGCGAAGAGAGGAACGCGGGGACAGTCTCTAAGGACCCATCACCATAGGGCAGTTGGGAACAAGCACAAGCACACACACGCAACCACAAACACAAGTACAAGCACCAACACAAACACAACCACAATCACAACCACGAACAAACACATAAACACACACAAACACGAACACACACACAAACACAGCCAAACACACAAACGCAATCACACCCACAACACACAAACACACACACACAAGCGCACACACACACACACACGCACACACGAACACAATCACAGACACGCCTATCACCGCACACACACACACAAACACACGCACAAACACAACCATACTCATACATACAGACACAGACACACACAAACACAACCACAAACACAACCACAATCACAAGCACAACCACAACCACACTCACACGCACAATCACAAGCACACCCAAACCCAACCGCAAACACGAACACAAACACAAACGCGCTCACACAAACACACCCAAGCACACACACACGCCAACACCTAAGCACACGCACAAGCACAAGCACAAGCATACGCACAACCACACACAACCACAACCACAAGCGCAACCTCACACATACATACAAACACAACCACGACCACAACCACACACACAACCACAATCACAAACACACACACAAACATGCACACCACCACACCCACACACACAACCACACGCACACAACACACAGCCACAATCACACACAACCATACACACATTCAGAAGCACACGCTCACAAGCACGCACACAACCGCAGACGTACACAACCATACACACAAAGGCAACCACAACCACAACCACACACACAACACATCCAATCGAAACCACAACCACAACCATAACCACCAACATAATACAAACACATTCACAAGCACACCTATACTCACAAGCACAAACACAAACACAAACACAAACACAACAACAAACACAATCACGCACAATCACAACCACAAGCACACACACACGCGTTTCCACGAAACGTAATCCATTTTCATTGGTTCCGCTCACACCGAGCTTCGTGTTCATATGGTTCCGCGCGCATTGAGCTCTACCTGCATGGGACTCCAAGCGCATATGTTTCCACACGTAGGTTTCCTCACATACGCCTAGGGATCCATACGTCATCGGTTTTCGCTCAGCAGGAGGGGGACCACGACCAAGAGGCTTCAAATGTTCCATACATTCTAAGACGCCTACGGCGGATCACCGCCGCCCCCTGCCTCTTGGAAACGCCCATGCGGCCAAACGTTGGGCCGAAGTTCGGCCAAGGTATTGGACTATGTGCTCCCCCAGCCGTTGTGGAAACCCTTGGGGGAACACTAGGGGGAGGACGAGAAAGGAGTGGAAGCGGGATGAGAACGAGGAGAAGGAAGAAGAAGAGGCATAATGAAGCCCTCTTGAGGCCTCCTGGGGGCTTCCCGTGGGGAGCTCCCAGGGGCCTCTTGGGAGCCTGCTGGGGGCTTTTGGGGTTATCCTGGGACGTCTTAAGGCCTCTGGGTGAGGGCCGTCTTGGGGCCCGCTTTAGGTCTGTCTTGGAGGTCTCTGGGGCTACCTTGGTGCCGTCTTGGGAGCCTCCTGGGCTGCCTTGGGACCCTCCTGCGCTGTCTTCCAGGCCTCTTGGGGGCCTCTTGGGCCGTCTTGGGGCGATCTTGGGCCCGTCTTGGAGCGTCGGACGCCCGAAGCGGCGAGACCGCTAGAATCATTGAAACACCTAAGGAACACCAAGGAGTTTGGCCTCCTGGAGGTCCTCTTGGAGCCCTCTCGGGGCGTCTAAGGTGCCTCTTGACCTTCACAGACCGTCTTCGGCCCTCCCTGGGCAGTCGTGGGTCCGTCTTTGTATGCTTTAGGGCTGTCTTGGATGTCTCTGGGGCCCTCTTTTGAACCATCTTACTGGCCTCTTGGGCCGAGTTGGGGCGATCTTGAGGGCCTACGGGGCCCGTCGTGCAGCGTCGGATGCCCGAAAAGGCGATAATGTTCAAATCATTGAAACACCTAAGGGACACCAAGGATTCTGGCCTTCTGGAGGTCCTCTTGGAGCCTTCTTGGGGCGTCTCAGGGGCCCCTTGGCCTTCAGAGGCCGTCTAGGGCCCTCCCTGAGCAGTCCTGGACGTCTTCGGGGCCGTCTCGGGGCCGTCTTGGGGCCGTCTTTGGGCCGTCCTTGGACCGTTTTGAGGGCCTTTTGGGCCGTCTTGCGGGCGTCTTGGGCCTCTTGGGGCGATCTTTGGGGCCTATGGGGCCCGTCTTGGAGCGTCGGTTGCCCGAACAGGTGAGAATGCCAAAATACTTTGAAATCATTGAAAGGCCTACGGGAACTCAATGGTTTCAGCATCCTGGAGATCCTCTTGGAGCCCTCTTGAGGCGTCTGAGAGGCCTCTCGGGCTGTCCCGAGAACATCTTGGGGCGTCTTGGGACCATCCTAGTTGTCTTGGCCTAAGACGCGCCCAAGAGGGCTCCAGGACGGACCTCAGGGCCATCTGAACCCATGCTGGACATGCATGTCCCGAACAACGCGCTCTTGGCCTCTCGGAGAGTCACGTGAGGACCCCCCCAGCGCGCGCGAGAACGCACAAGAGCGCCTGGGAGCGCCCGGACCTCTGGGCTGTGGGCCCCCCGAGACGCTTGCAAGATTCAATAATTGCAGAGAGCCCAAAGGGACCCGAGGACATTCCATCTCGTGTTTTTTGGGCACGGTGGCGGATCTTTGGGCCATGCTCTGGCGTCATTGGTTTGCGAATGTTTCCGGAGAAGCACCGTGGAGGACTACAGTCGGCCTTGATTAGTAGGTCGAAGCTGCAAAATCAAGGGTACCCTTGTGTCCTGTGCCTCGCGGCCTATGCCTCCTACGTTTCTATGCCAATGTGGCCCTCGCAAGGGTCTTGTGTCCTCTCGCGCGTCCTGTCCAATCAAGTCTGACTGTATGAGGATGACGATGCAGAGTTTAAACGGGCAGGGGTCGCGGAGGCTCCAGAACCAAAAACGAATGGTGGTGCGGATGGTTGTTGTTCTGATGGTCGCGGTATTAACGGTAATGCTTGTGCGTGGGTATGTGTTCGGTGTTCAAGAGACGGGGTGACAGCCAGGGCGCCAGATCTTGCAGGATCTTGCAGGGCCAGGGGTGCATTGACCCGGTTTTGGGTGCAGGATCTTGCAGGATGTTGCAGGATCCTGCAGAATTTTGCAGGATCCTGCCTGACTGCGCCGGATTCGGATTGACCCTGGTCAGTAGATCCCCGAGTGTGAGTGGAGGAGGACCTTTGGGGGAGGGGGGTGCGGACAGCAGGAGGGACTCGACGAGCGAGGAGGGAGAGGACGAGAGTAAACCCAAGATGCATCAGCGATGCTGCAACACACCTTTCCGTCCCGAGTCCGCTCCTCATACGACCCTGCAAGCGCTCTTCCTCACTCAAAGAAGCACCCCCTGGAAATAAAATCACCCTATGGGCTTGCCGTTCAGGCGAGGTCCACGCTTCGAGAAAGAATTGCCTCGCATCCTTCTTGTGCGTAAGCATGAACGCGAAAGGTAAGATCACACAGTTCAGCGAGGCGTCGATCGATATCCCGGTTTTGAAAAAAGGACTGTCCCCATCCGTATCACCGTTGCACAGACTTACACTCCTGACCATGCACTCCGAGGAGGTCTCAGGCGATAGCCCCATTCTCAAAAAGGGGCCGCCCTCCATCCGTGCAGCTGCTGCATACGTACGCTGAAGTTTCGGGCACGTATTTGGGTTTCAGGAGGCCTCACGCGAGAGCCCCATTGCAGTAGGAGCTGTCATCCGTCCCCGGCACGGCTGTGAACATGTAGGGCGAGTGTGCCGGGCGCTAGGGCGAGAGCCCCACGAGTCGCCCTTTGATCGTGTCACTGCTGCGTGCTTGTAATGAGAATGCGCGCAGCGCTCATGCGAGAGGCCCATACTGAACAGGAACCGCCCGTCACGCGTATACTTTCTGCAAGCTTTTAGGCGAATTACTGTGGCGCTAAAGCGAGAGCTTCATTGAATGAATTTCCCCCCTCCATCTCTAGAGCTGCTTCAAACTTTCAAGTCGAACCTGCGCAGGGCCATTTCGAAACCCATCCGCCCATCATCCTTGGGCTTTTTCTCAGATTTTGAGCTTCAGGGGCACAAGTGGTGAGGGAGTCTTAGGCGAAACGCCCACCCAGCCCGCCCTGCCGACGCGCTGGGGCCGCGACGGGGGCGTGTTATCTATGTGGAAAGGGGGTGGGGCAGGAGGAGGAGGAGGAGTAGCAGGAGGAGGAGGAGGAGGAGGAGGAGCAGGAGGAGGAGGAGGAGCAGGAGCAGGAGGAGGAGGAGGAGCTGGCGGACACGGGCGCGGAGGCGGAGGGGACTGGGAGGGACGGGGTTGGGGGGACGCGGAGGCCGAGGCCCGAGGATGCAGTGGGCGAGGGAGCTCCCTTCGCCCCCCACATGCGGCGGCCGCCGCCGCTGCAGGAGGGCCTGGGGCTTCTCCCCCCGCTGGCGGCGCTGGCGGTCCTGGTGATGAGGGCGGGTGCTTCCCTCCTGCTCCTCCCTGGTCCCCGATCCGCTGTGCCCTTGCTGGGCCCAATGCAGGTCTTCACGCATGCCCCCAAGCCCTGCCGCGGACTGCCCCCCCTCTCGGGCTCCCAGAGGCCCCGGCAGGGCCCCAACAGGGCTTCAGGAGGTCCTCACATCGGAAAGGAGAGTACATGGCGGGGATTCGTCAGAGTTGAAAGATGAGGATCCATCATTGTTCTGGTATACTCCGGCGTATGTCACGCCCTCGTGGTGCGTACCCCCTTGATCCCTATGTGCCTGCAGGTTGCCTACACGGATTGTTGCACGCGCGCGCTCTTTCTCTCACTCTCTCGTTCTCTCTCTCTCTCTCTTACTCTCTTTCTCTCTCTGCCCTCCCTCCCCCTCCCTCTGAGTCGTGTTTGTATTGTTGACGCTTCGTGAATCCCCACCAGCCCATCCAGAAACGATGCCCAGAGGAATTGCCTCGATCAGGGAAGTGGGCAGCACACAGAGGAAGCCATTATGAGACATCTTGGGATATCTTGAGCCATCTTGGAGGTCATCTTGGGCTCTCCCAGGCGCTCTTGGAGTCATCTTAATCAGTGCCCCCCCCCCCAAAGAGGCCAACATGTCGCTAAAACCTTAGTAAAATCAGCGATGTGGCATTCTCGCCGAGGCCTCTTGGAGCATCTTGGGTGCCTCTGGGGGGTCTCTTCGGGCCTCTTGGGGATCTCTTGGGAGCCTCTTGGAGGCATCCTGGGGGCCTCTTGGGGCTTCCTGGCCACCTCTTGGGACCCTCTTGGGGCACCCTTGGGAGCCTTGGGGGCCATCTTTGGGCCATCTTGGGTGAGATCGATCACAGGAGGGGGGGGGACTAATTAGGGCCCCCCCCTCAGGAGGCCAAAACGGGGCCAAAACCATGGTAAAACCAATGATTTTGGCTTCCTCGCCGAGGCCGTTTTGGACGCTCCGACACCTCGCGGAACCCCTTGTCCAGGTCCATGGGGGGCGGGTAGGGGGAGGGGTAAACCCCTCCCCGAAGGGGAAGAAGGAGGGGTGGAAAAGGAAACGCTCTAAACCACCGACGCCCAGAGGGCTGGTGGGATTCTCTCCTACCGTTTTCTATATTTAGATAGACACATCAAGTCGTGTGTTTACGTGTTGGTGTTGTCCCTCTCTCCTCTTTCTCTCTCTCCCTCTCTCTTTCACTATCGCTCTGTATTAGCGCTCCCTATGCCCAGTATATATATATATACACATCATATAATATGTATGGATCCCTCCCGCTCTTCGTTGCACGATCTAATTGAGTAGGCTATCCTTGTTTCTTGGCCATACCCATGTTTTTTGTTATCGCCGCACGCTGTGTCCTCTCACCGAATTCCCGACCATCTCCATACCATTTTCTCTAGCTTCCCTACCCTCTCTCATTGTGGCCGGAAACAGACAGTCTCGACCGTGTGTGTTCTGTCCGTCTCTCCCTCTCTCTATATATCCTTCTCTGTCTCATTCCCTCCCTCTCTCCCTCTCTCTCTGATCCGGCTTGCCAATGCCTCCTGCACTCGTCATTGTTTTATTATGGAGGCTCTTCACGCTCGTCTCTGGATAAGATCTTCTGCACTTTGCACGCTTTCTGCTCTCTCTCTCTCTCGTTGTTTCTTGTTGTTCTGTCTCGTTCACTTCTCTTTTTTTGTTTCTCTCTCTCTCTCTCCCCCTCTCCTATCTGCACTCTGCGCACATCCTCGTTCTCCTAAGCCGTCTGTGCATCCTGCATTTCCATCAATCGATAGTCGTGCGTGCTCACAATCATTGGCACCCCCCCTCGCTCTCTGCACTTTCACCATCTCCTACACTTCCAAGGACCATCGCGCAGTTGACATGTTTACACAAGTCGGAGCGATGACCCAGGCACCGCACAATGCGAACTACGAACCTGAGCACGTGACCGCCCACCGTTTTCGGCAGCTCATTTCCAATTTTTGTTTAAGCCAGGGCCCCTTTTGTACACGCCCTGGATGGAAACCAAGAGTTTCCCCCTCGACTCCAACCGCAGCCTGCGCCCGACGCGGTTTTTCACCCGTGGTTTGTTCTTCTCTTCGCGGTTGTTCAGGGGCGAGTGCCACGTCGAATTGCCAGCAACCTCAGCTACTTCCAGTGCCTCCGATTGCTCATATGACGTTCCGATTTTTTTGGTGGTGTTTTGAGGGTGTCAAGGCAGAGGCCGAATAATGTCATATAATATTCTGGTAATTCTCGACTGATTTGCGATGTTGCACCACGTGAGCTGTCGATTGACCGTGCGTAACCAGTTGGCTTATGGCTCGAGTCTTTTCTCGAAGGCATCCTGGGCAAGCGAGTGGAAGAGCGAGTCCGAGAATTCTTTCCCAGAGTCATTTCGGCCATTTGGGCTGCATCTACTTTGCAGGTATGGCTTTTCAGGCGTCGATGAAGTGGATGTTTCTCGGTGCCGTGCTCATGTGGCGAGTCGCATCGAGGATTCTAGGTGTTCAGCGCTGTCCGCTGCAATGGTACACGATAACGGGATTTGGGCTCGCCGCGCTCCTCATCCATACGTCCTACCACATCCTATTGTACGGTTATTGGGGAACCAATTATTTGGATCCCGCACTGATAAGCAGCAACATGTTGGACAAGCACGTTCATATCATGCCATTCCCCGAGTGGTTGAGGCTGGTATCGCTCTTTGCCCCCTTACTCGGCATCGTTGGATTCCTAGTCACGTCGGCGCACATCTTGTTTTTGATACGGTGCGGACGGCAGGCGAACGCTGGCTGGAGACTACATCCGCTCTCAGACCAGTTGTTGATCATCACCTTAGTGCCCCTTGTGCTCATCGTTACCTCACTGTGTGCCCTCATCCGACAGTGGGAGGTGATGACAGGGTCATTCTGTTGGGGACGATCCGTTTGTGGCGATGCAGAGCGCACTGGGGAGGTCGTGGCCGTGCTCGGCACCATGGATATGAGCTTGGCCACAGCCGTCCAGTTCTATGCCGTCTGGGAGGTCGGCGAGCTCTGCGGGCACCTCATGAGTGAAAGTAAGTTGCGCGGCGTGCAGAAGTTCCTGGGGTGGATGTCCATAGTGCCCCTGTACTTGTTCTCGGCTGCGGGTCTCGCGAAGTCAACGGTCGAGCTCGGCATGACGGCTTTTCCTACGATGTTGCCAGCGAGTTCCACATTCTTGATGGGGGCGAAGTCTGGCATCATCATCGCGAACATGGTTTGCGCCCTCAACTTGTTTGGGGTCAGCAAGATGCCTCATCTCAGGGAAGCGCGGGGTGATGTGACTCTGAAGTTCCGCGGAACAGGACTTTTGTTACTGGCCGTGCAAGTGCAGGCACAGTTGTTTAAGACGGATACAGTTGAATACTTGCTCACCCAAGCCCACGAGCACGATATACATTGGTTCGATTCGGCGGCGAGTTTCGGTAAGCAGCAGCTCGCCTTACTGGACATTTCTTTGGTGCTCTTTTGGTGCTTTTATGTTTCCGTCGCGAATTCAACTGTCTGGAAGGCTCAGGAAGTCGATCAACCCCTCCCTCAGGCGGTCTACCAACCACTCAGCAAAGCCGAACCTTCGCAGATGCCACCTATAGATTCCGTGTACGATGACGACGCTATGGTGAGGCATGATTACCAGATGATGCACGGATATTGAGCTCATCGTCAAACATGGTAATGTTGCTGTGGACGCCGCTGTCCTCCCTCAACCCTGATGCAGTGCCGCCTCGCCTGCAATTCGGCGCCCGAAGTGCTTTGCAACATAGGCCCGCGCAATTTCGCGGGGGCAGGCTTTTCCCTCACGCCACGTGTGCCGATTCGCTGCCACATCACAGAGTGGGATCGGGTATGTGCTTCGATGTGTGAAATCCTGTTTGCCAGCGTGGACCCCCAGTTAGCAAATGTGTGCAGCCACCGCCCAAGGCGGCCACGGGGCGCCCACGGCCGGATTGGGTAGAGTTACGTGCAAGCATTGTTAGGGAATGGCCTGCCGATGGTGTCTGGGATGTGCGTCGGTGGCATCCCGGTCGACTTGCGTATGCGACTGGTTCGGCGACAGTGAATGTTGCCGCTATAGCTGAGCGACATGACACCATGGTGCGTAAACTTGCTACACAGCCTAAGTGAAGCTACTAGCCAGTTATTGCAAACGATTGTTTGGTCGAGCACTAAAGCAACACGGTGCTGGTGATGTTGTATCGAGTGACCCCACGCTTCATACCGTATGCATATCGTTTTTCATTCCCCAATCAGAGTTTGCCTTTGTAGGGGTCCTAGCGGATTCATATGGTTAGGTGAGGTGTGCCGCCGATGTCGGTGGCCAGCCCGGGTGCCCGGGCGCGCGGTGCCCCGGTGCTCTATCGCCCTATAGCCCTATAACCGTATAGCCCTATAGACCTATAGCTTATCTACTTATTTCTCCTTTTAATTAAGGGTTCTCTGCAAACCCCAACACGCTGATATGGAAAACGGCAACGGCACTCTACGGCGCCTGTGGGAATATGGAAAACCTGATACTCTGGATATTCGGAAAATCAATAAAAAAACACATATATATATATATATTATACATGTACATATCTATATGTATACAGATAACGATGGGGGGAAGGCGAGGAGGAAGTGGAAAATAACTCGACCGAGGAGGAGGGAGACCAAAAGGAAGAGGAGATGTCCTTGTCGTCGTTGACGTCGTCGTCCTTTTTCGGCAAGGACTGCCGTTGCCCATCGCACCATCATGCGCGGTTGAACGGAGGTTGGGGGAGCAAATCCACCATCGACGCGGGCCGCGGCTCCGCATGGTCCTGCCGCTACGGCGGCGCTGCATGGCCCGATGAGTCATATGATATATGTCATATGTCATATCCTATCTCCCTGGCCGCGAATCCGATATCATCACCCCCGTCCCCGCCCAAAGGCGCATGTTGCACCGCTGGGGCCTCGAGGGCGTCCATGCGGAGCCGCGGCCCACGTCGACGGTGGA